AGCTCTAAGAGAAGTCGCTAGGGAGCAAACTGCGGTTGCTATGTGGGCAAAACGTGAATCATTATATATGACAAAGTCTTTGACTCACAAGTTGTATATGAAACAACAACTCTAATCATTCTGAATGATGGAGAACAAATCCATAGTTGAACAACTCATAGAATTTCACAAGATTATCAATGATCTTGAGAATATTGAAGTGAAGATTGATGATGAGGACAAGGCTTTGCTCCTGTTGAGTTCATTACTCATATCCTTTAAGCACTTTAAGGATGCCCTTCTTTATGGTAAGGAAGGTACTATTACTTTGGATGAAGTCCAGACGGTGGTGAAATCCAAAGAATTTTCAAAGTCGAAAGATTTGAAGATTGAAGATAATGATGATGGCTTAAATGTGTTAAGAGGAGAAGGTGAGCATAAAGGGATGTCCAAATCAAAGAGGTTTGAAAAGTCAAAGGTAAAATATTTTAATTGTTAAAAAGTCGGTCACTTTAAAAGGGATTGTCCTGAAAGAAAGGTCAGTGAAGATTTTGTTCAAGTTGTAGTTACATTGGATGAGGAAAGTTATGAGGATGCCGAAGTACTAGTACTATCGAGTATGGAAATTGAAGATAGTTGGGTCATTCACTCAGGTTGCTCTTATCACATGTGTCCAAGAATAGAATACTTTGGAACTTTGAAGATGGTGCAAGGTGGAGTAGTTCACCTTGGTAATAATAAGGCATGCAAGGTTCATGGTATTAGTACGGTCATATTTAAAATGTTTAATGATCGTGAACTTCTTATTCACAATGTGAGATATGTTCCAGAACTCAAGCGAAATTTGTTATCTATAAGTATGTTTGATGATCTAGGCTATTATACTAGAGTTGAACGTGGAGTGTTGAAGATTTCGCGTGATGAATTGATTATTGATAAAGGGTTTAAAATATGTGGTTTATATATTTTAGAAGGTTCAAATATTATTACTCATTCATCGTTAACTAGTGGAGGCTTTCATGACAAGGAAGAACTATGGGATTTGAGTTTAAGGCGTTATGAATGCCTTGAGAAAGTTTCAGAGGAGTACAATGAATTTTGCAGAAATCAAGGGATAAAAATGCATATTACCGCTGAGTTTTTATTGAGTTTTTGGGGAAGAGCTGAAGTTCAAATAACTTACTTGGTTGGTAAAGAATTTCTTCAGAAGAAGAATAGTGAAAACCAAGGGAGAAACCTGAGAGAAACTATAACAGAGAAAACTCAGTTTGAGATGGAGTTTCCTACTATGGATGCTAGCAGTAGTGAGGGAATGGTTACAGAGATCTCTGATTATCATTTGACTCATGATAAGGTAAGGAGGGTTATTATAGCATCTCAAAGGGACAGTTATGCTAGCCTTGGATATTATGTTTTTAATGTGGCTGAATGACTGCAAAATAAAAGAAGAAAAACCTTCAGGGAGGCATTTGAAAACAGGTGGAGTCAAAGGTGGTTGAAAAATCATACTTGTAGGCTTGTTAAATTACCTAGGCAGAAAAGGGTAATTGGGAACAAGTGGATTCAAGTTGCGAGATCAAGATTCAAGGGTTGCTTGAATTTGATCAAAGTTATTGATTAAAGTTTCAACTTGGTAGAGAGCAACAATGTTGTTGATTGTTAAATTGGTGTCAACACGGTTTAAAGTCAAGGTGGAGATTGTTGTAAATAATGTTCCTTAAAACCTTTGTTGATGAAGAGAAAGAAAACATATTTTGGAGATTGCATTTACCACGAAAATAGGAAGTTTTAGAAAGTCGGACGAAAAGTTGAGAAAAAAAATAAATTGATCGGTGAATAGTGTCGTTCGTATAGGGAATAGTGCTATCAGTACGGATTAATAGTGACGTCTGTATGGTGAATAGTATTTTCAAGTTATATGTATCTCATATATGTTTGGTGTGTGACAATCTTAGAGTTTACACCAACAAGAGAGAACAAGAGTTTAAAGACATTACATAGAGTTTCAGCTATGCATAAAGAAAACCTTGGATTACACCTTAGATTTGAGCGATTCATATATTGAGAGTTGAAGAGGTAGGGAAACACTTGGGTAGAAAATATGGTTGTTCTTTGGCGCCTTCAGGGTTGTTCTTGGGAATCTGAAGGCGAAGACTATTTTCTTGTAACTCATCTATAATCTCTTATAACAACTTTCTGAGTATAGTGACTTAGATAGCTGCTCTCTCTGCCAGAGTAGATCGTTTGGTCGAACTGGATAAACAAACCTTTAGTTTTTTCTTTCCTTATTCTGTTATATTATTGCTGAAGACCATTTATTTTGATTGTTATTGTTTATTGCCTCACAAATTGATATTGAATTTTGTTGTAATTCACAATAAGATTCACAACAACAATATGCATACATATATTTAGCATGTACCATATGCATACATAGCATAATAATACTCCTTTAACCCCTGAGTTGACATCTTATTATAAATATTGACCCCTAAGTCATTGTTTTTCTGTTCTCGACCCCCGAGTCGATATTTTCCTTTTCTTTAACCCCCGAGTTGATATGTCTTTATTTTCTCGACCCCCGAGTCGATATTTGCCTTTTTCTCCCTCAACCCTCGCGTTGATATTTTGATTTGTTCTCGACCCCGGAGTCGATATTTGCTTTACGTCTTTTTCAACCCCCGAGTTGATATGTTATTATTTCAACCCCCGTGTTGATATTTTATTTTTTCGACCCCCGAGTCGATATTTACCTTCCCTCAACCCCCGCGTTGATATTTTGATTTGTTCTCGACCCCGAGTCGATATTTGCTTTACGTCTTTTTCAACCCCCGAGTTGATATGTTATTATTTCTTCAACCCCCGCGTTGATATTTTATTTTTTCGACCCCGAGTCGATATTTACCTTTCTTCAACCCCCGAGTTGATATGTCTTTATTTTTTCGACCCTGAGTCGATATTTACCTTTCTTTAACCCCCGAGTTGATATGTCTTTATTTTTTCGACTCCCGAGTCGATATTTACCTTTATTCAACCTCCGAGTTGACTTGTTGTTTTGATTTATCCTCGACCCCCGAGTCGATAGTATATTTGTTTTTCTCAACCCCCGAGTTGATAAGCCAGTATACCCCGTAAATCCTTTCATCTTGTTGCATCGAATCCTCAACCAGAAATAAAACCTAACCGAGAATCCAATTACCCGGTTGCATCCTCATGCGCATTGCACTTTAATCATTTGCATTCTCATATGCATCTTATTTCCCTAGAAATTGCATCTTAGTTGCATATTCGTGCATCACATGATGCATGGCATTGCTGTTCCCATTAGCATAGCATAGCATAACAGGATCCAGGATCAGTTCAGCAAGCATCTTGATCAGTCCTCTATCAAAGTCGGCAGTATTTCTTTGAACAAAGTTGATACCCCATACGTGCTTGTGGAATTTTTATTCCCCAGCAAGTCATTCTTCAACCATGAAGTTGATAATGATAGCCCCTAGCAACTGTTGCTTTTGTTTCTCCTCAAGCGGAGTTTATTTTTAGAGTTTCTTATGATCTTATCTCCTCCTGTTATTTCTATATCTTCTTGCGTCGTATCTACACTCTCTTGTCGGATAAATTTCGAGGTCTTCTTGTATCTAATTGACTTCCACCTTAAAATGAACGTCATGCAGTTGTTCATTCTCTCAGGTTCAAAGCAATTAGATAGGGGCATCTGTCATACCCTAAATTTGTCCTACCTGTTTCAAAATTTTCATTCGCCCGACTTAATTTACCTCGCTTGTACATCGTAGCATATGTTTCAGCAAAAATAAACATTTTCACTTTTTATGCTTTTACGCTTTTATAGAAGAAAGAACGGGGGAGCAAAGGGTTCCTACAGACGGCGCCACTGATCTTACCGGATCAGAAAGGGATCAGCAGCCTGCCACACGTCGTGCGCTTCTGTGTTCATAGGTGTTGGAGAGGAGAAACAAATGTACTTGTAGAGTACTCCGATGCCTAAGCGAGTAACGGAGTTAGAGAGAGAAAGTACAGAGAAAATAGGTGTAGAGCTTAGAATACCTGATCCTCTAGTGAAATAGGGTATTTATAATGTGCCTCAGCGCATGGCCAATAGTTACTTTGCATTGGGTTGGATTGCAATGCCCAATACGAGTAACTGGCAGGACTTATGTGGTGTAGGGAAGACCAACACGTGGTCTTCGCCCTAGATCAACTGCCCCGTGATCTTCGAAAGATGGATTGGCCAGTTCTTTCGGAAGTGGGTAGTTGCTGGGGCACGTGGAGAACGTGAGGAAGACGCGTGAGCTCTTCCCGTGCTAGGAAGTGGTTTGTCCGACCGAAGTGAGTACTGAGCGTGCCTGACGGGATGAAAGATTGGGCCTTGTTGAACCTCCCCAACATAGCATTAGGTTGGATCTACTCGACTGTGGGACAATTCTTGACGCAGTCCAAAACATATTTTATTTATCACATAGAACTATAAACAACATTGAATTAATCTCTTTAAAAAAGTTTTAGAGAATCAATTTGTAAATAAAAGAAAGGAACTTTTAAAAGAATAACAACTTGAGAAATTCTTGACTGAAAGTCAAGAAAATAAGAAGCAAGTAATTTCATTGTATACGCTTTATGTTTGAAAGATTAAAACCATTTGTATTTGTATTTGATGTTGCTTACATGCTGAGTGATATTTATAAACATCTAATCACTTATTTATTAATCTGGTTGTATTTATCATAGGGATAAGTGTTAGTTCGATTCATTGAGATGACAAAGGGATTAAATTGGGATCATTTATTTGTGATTGATCTAAGCTATAAGTCTGTTGGACTAAAAAATATCTTATTGATTTTATAATCTATTTTATTATACTAAAAATCTCTTAATGTGAGTGAGTGAACATAGGTCAATGTTACAGGGGAGGGGCTGAATAATAAGAGAGATAAGGCTACATTACTTAAACATAAAAGTTCAAACTTGAACCAATTGTAACTTTATATTTGACAAGAACTTCATCAAATGAATTCATTCTTCTGTGATTTTTCACTTGGTCTGTTGTGTGCTCTCTTCAGTCTTACGTTAAACATACGTTCAAAGAATTTTACTAGCCATTGAAGTTTCCCTAGGAAGAAGACATTATATCCCAACAGCAACCCAAAAATTGCCCCACAGACATATCCTATTACTACTGCTTTCCATTCAAATTCTGATTCCTCTTCATCTTTTGATGTTGAATGTGGTGGTTGATCTTCGCCATGTATGCATGATTTAGACAACGGGAATCCACATAACATTGCATTTCCATCATAGGAATTATTTTCAAATGTATCAAACTGTTTACCTTTAGGTATGATTCCCTCAAGGTGGTTTTGTGAGAGGTTTAAGAAAGAGAGAAAGGTTAAATTTGTCAAAGTTGTAGGAATCTCACCTATCAATTGGTTCTTTGAAAGATCCAACCACTCCAAATTTCTCAAATTACACAAAGATTGAGGAATATTACCTGTGATTTCATTGTTTGAAAGGTTAAGACCTATTAGAGAAATTAATTCTCCAGTGACATGAGGAATTTCTCCTTCAAAATTGTTGTTTGATAAATCAATTGTCGTGAAAGTAGTCAATATCCTCTTTAGCTCCATGGAAAAACCTTTCATTACAACCACCAAAGAGTCAATATAGTAATTCTCCTTACCTATGTATTGCGGACCAATTTGGCTGTCATTCACATTCATCATTCCTTGAAAGTTCTTGATGCATGATGTTGGCAAGGTTCCACTTAAATTGTTATGAGAGATGTCAAAGATTCTCAACTTAGAGAATGAATGCTCAGTGCTAGAACATGTGATTTTACCATGAAGTTTATTTGATCGTAGACTGAGTACACGTAACTCTTGTAGAGTTTCAAGCCAATTTGGAAATGCATCGTCTATGTTGTTATCTCCAAGGTCCAAAATTTCAAGGAATGTGCAATGAACCAAAGAGCGTGGTAGTGGTCCTTCCAATTGATTGCCATTCAACTTTATTGTCTCAAAATTATTTTCTTTGGAAAAGGTTCTAGGAATGCTTCCATAGAAGTTGTTCATTTGCATATCCAATATAGAAAGAAAAGGAAATGTTCCTAAACATTGTGGTACTGTCCCTGTTAAATTGTTGTGAGCCAAATTGAGCACCTTCAGGGAACTTGCTTTGCACAATGACAAAGCAATGCCTCCTGTGAAGTTGTTATTTGAGAGTAAAAGGTATTGAATGCCATACGGTGGAATTGGAAGATCTCCTTGCAACTTGTTGAAACTAAGATCAATGTGATCAATGTTCTTCCATGAGCTTAAGAGATGACTTTGAAACCATTTGGAAATTTTTCCATGAATGTTGTTATTAGAGAGATCTAATACATTTAAATTGGCTAGTGGTGCTAGGAATTTAGGAAAATGATTACTGTTAGTTGATGATAAATATTGAAACTGAGGTGGGAGGGTTTTAGATTTGCTATGAATGTTGATAGAAAGAGCACTATTGTGCGAAAGATTGAGGAAATGTAGATTTTTAAATGTTAAAAATTGGTGAAAATGCACAACACCACTCAAGTTTGTTGATGACAAATCTAAGTCAGTAAGATTTTGGAGTTCAAATATTGAATTTGGAAAATGACCAAGTAAGTTATTATTAGAAAGATCCAAATATTCTAACGAATGAGTTGAGAAGTCACCAATGAACCCTGTGAGTTGGTTGTCGTTGAGGTGCAACTCTAATAAAGAAGGCAAATAATAACACCAGCCTGGAATTGTTCCATTTAACATGTTATGTCCTAAAAAAACAATGCTCAATTTCGAATTTTTTGTGATTCCACTTGAAATTGGGCCAACCAGTTTATTACCATAAAGTGATAAATATTCTAATTTAAATAAATTTTCAAAAGCATTTGGAATGTTGCCGCTAAATTTATTATATCCAAAGTTTAAGAAAGTGAGGTTAGTAAGTTTTGAAAGTAATGATGGGATCTCACCCTCAAAATTGTTGGCAGCAAGGTTCAAGTATGTGAGTTGAGTTAGGTTCCACAAAGACGGAGGAATCAGCCCATCAAGTTTGCATTGTAAAAGGGATAAGTGAGTAAGAGACTTCAACTGACCTATGGAGTAAGGAATTTTATCTGAGAAAGCAGTGTAGGAGAGGTCCAAGTACCTAAGAGGAGTGCTCCAGTTGGACATTGGAAGTTGACCACTAAGATCTTCGTTAAAGGACAAATCTAGTTTTTGAAGATTAGGTAGTAAGAGGATGTCACTGGAGAGATATCCTTGTAACCCAGTGTTATATAGACTAAGTGAAACCAAAGAGGATGACAAATTGTTTAGCATAGACAAAGAGCTCACGTTGATTGAACTCATATCCACATAATCAAGATAAAGCTCCTTTAACTTAGTAGCATTACGAATGAATTTCTTCCATGTGAAGGGATTGAGCCTAATAAAAGAGTCAAATCCACTAATATCAAGTGATACTAATTTTGATAAATGAGAGATTTGTGAAGGAATATTACCAGTGAGGTTACAATATGATAGATTTAGATGTGTGAGACTCACTAGATCACCAACACCAGCATGCAATGAAGACATAGAAAAATCATTAAAAGCCAAGTTGAGTTGCTGAAGGTGTCTAAGTTTGAAGATAGTGTTATTGGGGTGTAATTCACCTTCCAAATTATTGCAACTAAGGTCCAGACCAATCACATAGTTTGACACGTTGTTGCACGTGACACCATCCCACTTGCAGCAATCTGTGTTGTTTTTCCAAGAATCTGTCTTGAAAGAGAAAGAGGAACAACTAGGAATCTGAAATTCCTCGAGTTGAGATGAAGTGTCAATAAAAAATGAGTTCTTGAATTGTAACAATGCAGAGCTCTCATGATGGTTACATAATGAGAAAGATTTCGAAGGAAAATGAGTAAGTAGCAATAAAAACAAGTGAAGGGAAAAAGAAGGCAATACTAAAAGTAAGGATCTCATTTCGATAAACTTACACTTGCACTCTTTTTTTTAAAGCTTGGTGATGTTGGAAGTAGCAATCGTTTATACAGGAAACATAACGTGAAACTTACTTTTCTTCAACCGTCTCTAGCAATTCAGTAGGGATAATTTGTGTGGTTGAAATTTTAGTGATATAATTGTTGATCAAAAATATTAATTTAATAGAAGAAAACGAAAACACGTATTCTTAAAGGAGGAGGACCCACACTTTTGAACCCTATGTATAGCATTTATTTCTTCGTCAAATTTTCTTTGTCAACTGTAGCGTTCTTTTTAATATTTTTTCTTTTTTGTGTGTATATATTAATACACAATTATTTGTTTGTGAATAAAATTTAAATTTTTGGAAAAAAGCCTGTGAACAACACAATTAATTCTTTATGATTTTTATAACAACAATATTTTTTCCAATCATAAATATATTTTAATTTATTAACTGTTTATAACCACAATTTTACACTTGTAATTTGTTGTGAAATTATTTATTTTTGTAGTAGTGGATACTTGTTTTTGTAGTAGTGGATACTTTTCTTCAGCCAAAAATGTAAGAAAATTTTCTGGTTACAAATTTCCATATACATTGGTGTATATTTATGATGTGTAGGGACCGAAGAAAATGGAAGGATGCATTTTTTCAAAGGGGAAGACCAAGACTTTTGAATATATTCTTTCTATAAGCAATGGGAGTGTTTGGGTGCTCCACCCAACATGATGTTACAAATTAAGTTAATGTTGGACCTGAAAAAAAAAAAAAATTTAATTCATCCTTTGATACTCTTAGGTATTTAGCGAATTTTTTTTTTTATATCTTCTATTTTTGGAGATACACATCTGGATGCATTTTTTTCTTTACGCTGGATGCTTTCGAAGATGTATCTACGAGAAAAATTCTAGAAATGCAACTCTGAAATCTTATCAGAAAGTTTTAAAAAAAATCAAGTTTTGTTGGTCGCAGATGAAAATTAACTGTTGCAGATGAATATAAAATGACATACATCCGTAAATAAAATTTTATATATATAAAAGAAATAATATGGTACATTAATGTCATAAAAAATATAGTATATCAAAAAAACATCACAATCACTATTGAGTGTGCCTGTCTGCCTCTCCCGCCTCCTCGGTCGTCCGGTCTGCATCCTCGGTCATCAATCTCACCCGTCCTGGCGCGATGCTTGCGGTACATAAGTGTCCCTTCTACCACCGCAATGGTGTCATCCAATACACATCTATGGTCAGACCCATCGTGGAAAAAACCGACGCCAATGCCTGCCTGCCCCATTTCCACTACCTCATGACAGCGAGGCAGGACATCTTGAGTGTGGTCCAGCTGAGATAGTTGCTCCTCTAAAATCTCCTGATGAGATGGTCTGGACGGTGATCCCTCGGCAGTGAACACCATGTAGGAGTGTGATACGGTGAAGAACCACATGATGTAGCCATCAACACAGCTCTAGTCTGTCAGCGCTCTGGTCTCCCGAGCCTCGTCAGGTACCATGTGCCTCTGGTAGTCGGCATATATCTCGTCAACTTGCATACGAGTCAAGCAGGGAGGAGCGGAGACAACAGGGTGTCTGGGAATGGTTTGAGTGTAGCCGAACTGCCGCATGACGCGCTCGGGCAAATATGGAATAGTGATGGTCGAACTGCATGCCAACCATCTTGAGAATAGGAAGATGTCGTCAAACGGACACGTCATACAGTGATTAGCATAGACTTCATATCAGATGTCCTCAACAGCCAGGCGATCGAGATAGACTCTCTAAGGATCGACTGCCTGGTTCCCCCTGAGCGGAAGAAAGGCACAGGCACGCGACATCTGCTTTGCGTAATCAAGTACATTTCCCCACCCGACGATCATGGAAAGTGATGGAATATCCAGGCTTGAAATGAAAATAAAAAACATCAGGATCAAGCTCTCGAATATAGAATGAAAAGAAATGAAGAAAAATCGAAGGATATAAGATTGTTACCACAAGTAGTGCCATGCTCCCTGCCACAGTCCTGGTCTTTAACAGGCATCCCTCTCACAGCCTCGAATACGTGTAAGCCAGGGTAGCCGCCCCCCAGTTGTACTCATGGATCTGTGTGGAATCCAAAAAGCACCTCAGGTAAGCGACATTCGTATATGTGAAGGAAGTGTCCACAAACAGTTGAGTGCCGACTAAAAATAGAAAACAACATCTCAACACACGTTGTCTATGTATCTCAATCTCAACTGGATCACCGTCTATCTGGCATGCATCAACGATCGCCTCGCCAAATCTACGGGTGAGAAAGGAGAACCTGACATGAGCCCCTCTGGTCTTATCCACCTTCTCCAGCGCATCCAGTGGATCAGCCTCAAGCTCCTCGACCAACATCTCTCTTGCATCCTCCTTCGTCATCCTACCGTGACGGAGGAGGATACCTCTGATCGGTATATGAAGCAGACAGGAGATGCCATCTAGTGTGATTGTGAGGTCGTCGTGCGGTAGATGGAAGGAGGACGTCTCAGGGTGCCATCTCTCTGCAAAGCCCATCAACATCCCGTTGTGGATCACATTATAACCGATCTCACAAAGGTCCTTCAAACCAGAGGCGACAAGGACATTCCTGGAACTAAGCCTCATGTGGCTGCTCCAAAGGTAATATCTTCTGTCTGGGGTTATAGAACTTCTGCGGAGGACGAGTCTGAAAATTTCCATAAATAAGAAAAAATATTAATAAGAAACAATGGTACAAATTATAAATTTCCAATGAAAAAAAAAGATACAAATGAGTAATGTTACCTCTCCATCCTAGACATGTTTGGCAGTATGGTCGGCGTACCGTGTCAGCAGGGACATATCTGAGGGATCCCCTAGGAAACCCTCAGGCTCATCATCGTCGTCGTCACCAGAATCCTATGGTGGTGGGTCATCACCCTCTGTAGGTGGCACCGGATCAACATCAGGAGGAGAATTAGGAGTATCTCGACGAAGCCTGCGGGAGGACGGGGCCTGTGATGAACACTCAGTTGAATCCCGACGCCTCCGGGATGAAGAAGTGGATAATGGGATGGGATACGAGGTCTAGGGAATGTTCTGGGCATGTGATAAATAAATACGTGCCTCAACTGTATCGGCCTCGGTAACGGTGTCCTGGCTCCACTCGCGTCTCACAGATGCATGCTGTGAAACCCGTCCAAGTTGCAATCTATCTTCTCTGTTTTCCATAACGTCTGCAAGGTATAACCAATGAAAAACAATTAGATACAAATATATTAAAAAATAAAAAAATTAAATTAAAATAATGTTTTTTACTTCCGGATGTATACATGCGGAAAAACCTAGTGTAATACCCCAAATTTTACTCTTAGATTAGTCGATTCATTTCACATTTCATTTCATTCTGCATCGCATTTTAACTAACCGCTAACCAGTTTACTCAGTCTGTTGGTTTTGCAGGAAAATCCCGCTATGTGCGATTTAATTGGTGAATGGAAAAATGGTAATTAATTTGCAGTCTGCCGATCATTCATGAAGTTAAGTCGTCATCAGGAGTTCTTCAAGTGATTAGGGTCTCCATCTCCGAGTCATGTGACTTATTTGAGGATGAGCTGAATTTTACGACAATTTTTGACGTCAGATTTCTTGTGACACAACAGATTTTATTCAAAAGCCAAGATTCAGTCGTCAGTTGAATTTCAGAAATGTTGTTGATTCCTAAACCATATGGAGCTGAATGTGTTAATATATCAGTGGATTCAGGTTAAATCGGTGCGAGAATTTGATTTGTGGAATTTATTTTAACAGACGCACGTTTTCCTGCGTTCTGCTACCTACCAGTCGATTTTAAAGAAACTAGTGGAAGTTCGGTTCGTGTTGAATTTATAATGAATATCTGTTGGTCTGGTCATGGTTATTAGTCGAGCTGATTCAGGTTACCGAGTTAAATCATTCGAGATATGATGTGAATTTTTCCATACGGAGGACAGTTCGTTTCGCTGTTTAATCGGATTTCTCTGCTTATTCGTTCAAGACCGTATTCACCGGTTTTATTATCAGATACAAATTAATTTGCAAAGGTATTTGTTAATACTCAGCGGACACGTCGGATTTAAATCGTGCAAAATGATTAATTGTCAAATTCGGAGTTGGAATGTCACAGCGTAATCGGATAAATTTCATTGGATAAATTTAATGAATTTATTTGAATGAGTTTAATTGGATGAAGTTAGTTGTTTGGATTCAATCAGATAACTTTTAATCGGATGACGTTGATCAGGTGAATTTAGTCGAATAAATTTAATTAACTGAATTTATTCGCTTAAGTTTTATCGGATGAGATATTTGGAGATTTTAATCGGAGGAGTTGAATCGAGAAATAAAGTCGGTCCGTTGAAAGTGAGATTTATTTATTTAAATTCTATATTTTTACAAAGTACAAGAAGTAATTGAAGAATTGAATTTATTTATTAAATTCTATTTTTACAAAAGAAATTACAATTACAATCTAATGCCTAAGTTCTAAAATTCCTAATTGTTCTAAAAGTGCCTTCGCGACCGATGTAACACCCTCTTCTACCCCACAATTATCATGGCAAAATTACATAGATTTCAAAGTAAATAAAGAAACCTCAATAAAAAGCCACCAAAAGGGCGTACATTTCTCAATGTCATCAAAATAGGTCGATACTCCGTAACTACGGGTTTTCCCCAAAATACATCAAACAACATAAAACAGCGAAACTCAAAGCATAAATCAAGATTTTTCCTCATAAGGGAAAGTTAGCAAAATAACTCAACGGTATAAAGTTTAACCCAAGGAACCCAACCCGATGTTACATATCAGAGCAAGACCCTCTAAGTTAACCATAAAGGCTAACGACTCTAAAACTTCAAAAATAACTCCTCGACGACATCCACAGTTAAACCTGGTAATCTGCACGTTACCCACGTGGAGGTAATATTTAAACAGGCAGGGTGAGTAAAACAATTCATAATAATCAATGTATA